TGGATGATGGATGTATGAATGGATGATGGATGTATGAATGGATGATGGATGTATGAAGGCATGGATAGAAAACTGATGAATAGATGGATGGATGAACGACATAACTCACATGATGTCCTCTCTATGGAGAAGTTCCCTGGTGTCTCACTTTTGATGACATCATCAGCCCTGGCCTGATATTCTCTGAGGTCACTGATAAACGTTCTACTCACAAGTCCCCCCCCCCCCCCGCAGGTGACAGGATCTCATACAAGAACACAGATTTTATTGAATTCAGGAGCGAGGCGAGAGGAAAGACAGCCCCGAGGACAGCAGAAGATTGATGGAGGAAGCCGCCAGTTTCTCGGAGGGCGAATGCAAAAGCTGTTAATAATCCATCAGAGAACACACTTGCACCTCCGAACGGAGAACGCTACAGGAAACCTCGTCAAACACGGACATTCATCACTGCAGGTGACCCAGGCTGGAGCCAAGTTGGTTTAAGCAGCAACAACAGCTCTCATGTGAACACGGCGCCTCTAGAACCCACAGCGGCGTTCTGAGGATCAAGCGTGGACGTCGAACCCAACGTCTCTCTGCGAGTTGTAAAGGTGGCGCTGCCATGTTGGAAGCTGACTGTTGGCTCTGAGCTGAACGTTCCGATCATTCGGAACGGTAACCCGTGTCAGTCAACACCTGGACGAGTTCATTTAAGGTTTGTTTGGTTCTGAATCAGAAAAACTTACTAGTTGTTTACACGGAGGAGGCGGAGCTTAAACTAAACTGGAACCGATCACCAGAGGGTGTTTTGGTTCCTGTTGAATCCTGATTTTTGTTGAGACTAGTTAGTGCTAATTGTGTTGTTATTGCTGCGATAACACAAGCTAGACAATAACGCTCATCAGTTGTGGCGGCCATCTTAAATTAGGCTGCCTCCAAATGCTAATTAATGCTCATTAACCTATTTATTTCTAAAAGGTTTAAAGTTTCAGTAATTCAGACATCCTTTTTCCTCCACTTATCCGGAGTCGGCTCGCCGAGGGCAACAGCCTAAGCAGGAAGGAAAGGCTTCCCTGTCTCCAGCCACTTGGACCAGCTCCTCCGGGGATCCTACGGCGTTCCCCGACTAGCTGAGAGACGGTCCTTCCAGCGTGACATTTAACATTTATGCTAAATAAAGAAAACAGCGGCTATCCATCTGTTTTAGCTCTACGTTCGTTCTAAAGTCAGTAAATAAAAGTGAAAAAAAACACACTTTAATACAGTTAAACCACAGAAATCTTCAAATCAGTTTTCTTAGACATAAAACTTTCCCAAATGTAATTTTTTGTTGAAATTCTCTAAACGTGATCAGAAATAGTTTATTTGAACAAACATTAGCTTTGATTACAGCTTTATTTTGAAAGTCTACTTCCTGTCAGAGCTGTGTGGCATCTCCAAAAGTTCCCTAAGAAAGGTAGATTTGCTAAAATTAATGTTGTAATTTTAGGAACTATTTGCCACCCTAGCCGTTAGCCTATCAGTCCTGTGAGATGTAAACTCCATTTCTCTGAACAGAGGCTGCTCAGGACCTTCAACAGATGATTAATTATGTTTTATACATGAGAATAACGACTTGTTTATTTATCTAAAACACAAACACCGACCGACCCGTCCTCTCGTCCTCCGCTACCACTCGTCTAATTCGCCTCTGTCCTTCAGAGCTCCTCGGACAAACATCTGCAGCTGCTGCAGCGCTGCAGCGTTGATCTGAGTGATAAAACATTCATGAGATTAAATTCCTGCTGGTGAACGGAGGTTTAAACGGTCTCCGTCTGCTCTGTCGGTTCTGCTGCAGCGCCTGGGTCGGCCCAGCTCGGCAGAGGTGATATTATCTGTCTGAGCGACACAGGAATGGGCTGAAACTGTAACTGCATCACAAGCAATTTTATGGATTTGAAATAACAACCCGCGTTTAAAGTGCCGTGATGCTGAGGGAGGTGTGGGGGCTGCAGCAGCGATCAGAGAAACACACCGAGCCTCGGGCGGCACTTCACCGGCTCGCTGCCGTTTGTCTAAAAAGTAAAATAAAATCAGACGTTTGTGCAGCAAAGAAAAACAAGTTCTGCTCCTCAAAGGCTGAATGAGATTCCTGCTGGGGTCAAAGCTGCACACGTTGTAGACGCATCCTGGATTATTTAATCTATAGTTAGTTTAGTTAAAGTTCAGATAATCCTGGTTTTGAGTCAAACCTGCACAAATTATCTGGTAGAAGGGAACTCCGGTGCAGGACACCGGGATCAGTCATGGGCCAAAACAAGAGCGGTGTCCACGTTCCTGGAAATAAGTCGCGCTTGTTGGACTCCACCAGGCCTGCTCCTGGATCCAGTCGGGACGAGAGTCAGGTTCCTCCGAGTCGCAGTCAGGAAATATCGGAATGCTAGAGGAGGAGTTTGGATATCGGGGTTTTGTTTCTGGGTTATGATGGGATGGATCAGCGTTAATGAAGGCACTGATCCGGTCTGCAGAGCTCTACGTCTCC